TAATCCATGTCAGGAGGGACACTATGAGCTACAACAGGATTTGTAAACTACCATTTCATACATTTCAATTAAAAGGACCAGGATTTCACTTAAGCACTGGGTTCTTGCCGTATGCTGATTGGTCAGTCTCCTATAATCATGCATATGCGTCGGTAATGTTAATGCGAAACAGCTGGATGAGGCTTTCAATCTAGGAACTAACCAAACATTTTAGCAGAGCACAGAATCCTTTCAGCTTTAAAGTAGTTCGTAAAAGCTGAAGTAGCTCATAGTGTCCCTCCTGACATGGATTAGGTGGTCACCCTAATTACAGCATATGTGATTGAGTCCAGATGTCGCAGGATACAGTGCATGCAATGTTGACAGCATTGTCCACATGGCAGCTAACTCTTTGTGCAAACTTCAGTGAGTGAAGGAGAGAATCAAACATTCAAATACATTACTTATAATATAGAAAAGTGCAATTTGTCTTTGGTAATTAAGACATTAATTTTGTCTTTGAACTGGAAAAACAGTGACACATTTGAGCAAGCAGGAATAACGTAGCGTGGTTTGTCAGGAATCTGTGTCCAAGTGTAAATTAGCTTATTAGGCAAAGGTAGCTGTTCTTTTGCATGGATTCTCTTTCAGTAGATTAGCTGTGTGCAAGTCCTTGCAGAAAGTGAATCAGTTGTTAGTGGCAAGACCATGACCAAAGAGCTTCATGTTCTGGTCAGCACAGCAAAGGCAGTCTCCCTGGATGTATCTGTAAGAGGAAAATTGACCCCAGATTAAACAGAAGGATAGTTTGAATGGTGGAGAACGAACCAAGGAAAACGTCAGATCAGATCCAGGATGACCTCCAGGATTAAAGTAGGCTCCATGATGGAAAACCCAGGATGACCCCAGTTCCAAAATATGGACACAAAAAAGCCTGACTATAGTTTACTAAAATGTTATCAAGCCACAGGCCTTCTGGGAGAATGTCCTTTGGACAGATGGAAAGAAAACGAGAGCTTCTTGGTAAGTCACAGCAGCTCTATTCACAAAAGACATAAAGATGCTATCAAGGAAAAGAACAGCATCCCCACTGTGAACCATGGAGAAGGTTCAGTAATATTATGAGGCTGCTGTGCTGCTTCTGGCACCAGGTGCCTTGAATCTGTTCAGAACACAATGAAACCAGAAGCTCATCCAGGCATCCTGGAGTGAAACATACTACCTAGTGTTAGAAATCTGTATCAGATGCAGATCAAACCCAAGAACAACTGAAAAGAAAACATTGGACTGTTCTGAAGTGGTCTGTTGTGGGTTCTGATCTGAATCTAACTGAATATTTCTGGAAGTAGATGAAACTCTTTCTATAACTGGGAGGAGAGGAGTGGGCCAAATTATCTGTTGTGAAGTGTATGATTCTCATTCAGAGCTACAAAAAGCATTTGATTGCAATTATTGCCACAAATGGGCTGCAAAATATAGATTATGGCTCCCAAAAATTTTGTCCATGTTAATTTCTTTTAGTTAAAATAAGTTAAAAATCAAAAGCAAAGTATGTCCTTGAACATAAAACTGTACCTATCTGCCGTAGAGCTTCTCTATAACAGTTTGTAATCTTTCCCTGATCCAGAGGTCTGTTTTCAGAGCCTAAACTGTGTGTTCAAGTAAGTCTAACTCTATCCTTCACTAGTTTAGGCCAGAAAGGTTCCAAATCAGCGTCCATTTCCAAAGTTTAACCCATCCAATTCCCATTCATGCCTGCCGTCCGAATGACTCTGCATGTGACCTCCACCTTTCATCTTTCAGAAAGCTGATGACCCTCTGAGGGGTCTGCACCTTAACATATTTCATGATATGGTCTGCCAACTCTCACGCATCTGCCGTGACACTCACACTTTCAGATCGTCACACTCATACAAGAAATCTTATGGCAAATCTATTATTCCATTATAAACCTAAAATTATCTACATCAAAAGCATTAGGGTAGTTTGCAAGACCTACAGGCTATTCAGTAATAAAACTCTTACCTGCATGTAAATGTGTGTGTAGACTTGTCTCTAACTGAAAATCTCACACCAGCCAGCAGACCAAAGGCAACCTTGTAATATTTGGTTTGCTATTTGATACACTGGAAGAAAAATGAAAGTAAACTTTGTCATCGCCACTTACTCTTTTTAAATAGATTTTTTTTTTAATTTTGTTGTGTTGTTATAAGTCATAAGCCAAAGTATATTTCAGAATGATTCTGATGTCGTTGGATATATTATCTAAATTTGTGCAAGAGCAAAGTTTAAAAAGTTTGTGTTTGGGAGGATGTAATTTTCCTCAGATTGTGAGATGCACTATTATTTATAGCTAAAACAGAAACAGGACGGGTACTGCACTCCAATCGGTCTACCTTTTCCCACAAAAACAATAGCAAAAAAATAATGACAAAACACTACAAGCAGCAATAAAGTATAATTGTTTTGACCGTTTTTAGGGAAACTGCAGTGAGAGTTCAGTGGCAGCAATGTCAGGGAAAAATGAATTTGTTTTTTTTTTTTTGATGACTTTCATCTGATAAAGTAACAACTTCATTTGGATTTCCTTACCCAAAGTAACTTGTATTTTTAACCCCCTCAGATAATTTTAATTCAGGCACCATACTCCCTAAATGATGTTCACAAACTCTAATGCACCAACAGGCCTCACTATACAAACAAAAAAGGAAATGAAAAGCAACTGGAATGCGTTGTGAGGACAGCAGAGAGCAATCAAACATCCATCACATTTATGCTGATTAGCAGTGTTTCATGGTGGCTCTACATTATGCCTCCTTTTTCTTGTGTGATTTTTATCATTCTCACTCGACTGCACTCACCGTCGGGACCCAGAGCTGCTGTGGTGACCCACCGTTCCATAGCCCTGTCCTGCTGAAAGGTGAATTTCCTACCAAGCCTAAGTTTGTTTTTGCAGACTGAATCAAGTTTCCAATATATACAATATACCCTTGAACTTCGTGCCATTTATCATTCCTTGATTACCTAACTCAGGCATGCAGGTGGTGGACTGGAACAAAAATGCACACGTGCACGGTCTCCCCCCAGCCAAGTGCAGAGTCGGCATTATATTTTGAATACATCTGTTTAGTTGGACTGGGAATGTCGCAATATACTTTTCTAAATGCTTTAAATTTTACAGAATCAACTATAGCATATGGTTGTCTATTGATTTATAGACATACACATCCTAACATCAATGAGCCATTTTTGACTACTGGACTGTTGTTGGCTGCAAAAAGAAGGTCCAAAAGTATTCCAGTTTCATTCAAAGCTACTTGAATCTTTATTTTCTCTTCCCCCTTCTACCATAAATACACCTCTGATGTCTCAGCCCTTAAAGGGAAAGTGAATAGTTGACACACACCATAGCACACGGTGCACAACAAGAAATATGTCCTCTGCACTTACCCCTTACGTCACATCATGACACAGCAGGGGGCAGCTAATTCTGCACCTGGGGAGCAGTACCTTGCTCAGGGTACCTCAGTGGTACTGTGTTGGTCAGGGATTCAAACCAGCAACCATTTGATTACAAATGTGCATGCCTAACCTTTGGGCCCCGCTGCCAGAACTTAAAAGGTTCTCTTTAGCATGTTTAATCTATACTAATTGAAGTAGACAGTGAAAATAACTGAGGATCATAGGTTTCATCGGGATTTGAATAGCCAGTTAATTTAAGGAATGTACGTCTACTACTTTTCTGTTATTAGGACGAGCCACTATTCCTTCCGCAAGCACAAAAACCTAAATAATAAATATAGCAGACTAACTACTTCCTTTCGATTTTAGCAGAATGCTTAAATAATACACTAAATTGCCGAAAAGTATTGGGACACCCCTCCAAATAATTGAATGCTGGTGTTCCAATACCACAGGTATATTAAATCAAGCACCTAGGCATACAGACTGCTTCTACAAACATTTGTGAAAGAATGGGTCACTCTCAGGAGCTCAGTGAATTCAAGCGTGGTACCGTGATAGGATGCCACCTGTGCAATAAGTCCATTCGTGAAATTTCCTCACTACTGAATATTCCACGGTCAACTGTTAGTGGGGGCAATTTGGACCAGCAGCAACTCAGCCATGAAGTGATAGGCCACGTAAAATCACAGAGCGGGGACAACGCATGCTGAGGTGCACAGTGTGCAGAAGTCGCCAACTGTCTGCAGAGTCAATAGCTACAGAGCTCCTAACTTCGTGGGGCCTTCAGATTAGCTCAAGAACAGTGAATAGAGACCTTCATGGAATGGGTTTCCATGGCCGAGCAGCTGCATCCAGGCCTTATGTCACCAAGTGCGATGCCAAGTGCTGGATGGCGCAAGTGGACTCTAGAGAAGTGGAGATGTGTTCCCTGGAGTGAGGAATCACGCTTCTCTGTCTGGCAATTCGATGGACAAGTCTGGGTTTGGCGGTTGCCTTCAGAGGTTGGGCTTGGCCTCTTAGTTCCACTGAAAAGAACACTAAATGCTGCAGCATTCAAAGCCATTTTGGACAATTTCATGCCCTCAACTTTGTGGGAACAGTTTGGGGATGGCCCCTTCCTATTCCAACATGACTGTGCACCAGTGCATAAAGCAAGGTCCATAAAGACATGGATGAGCGAATCTGGTGTGGAGGAACTTGACTGGCCTGCACAGAGCCCTGACCTCAACCTAACAGAACACCTTTGGGATGAATAAGAGCGGAGACTGTGAGCCAGGCCTTCTCATACAACATCAGTGCCAGACATTACAAATGCTCTTCTCGAAGAATGATGAAAAATTCCCATAAACACGCTCTGCAAGGACAACCTTCCCAGAAGAGTTGAAGCTCTTATAGCAGCGAAGGGTGGGCCAACTCTATATTAAAGCCTATGTATTAAGAATGGGATGTCAAAGTTCATATGTGTGTAAAGGCAGGTGTCCCAATACCTTTGGCAATATAGTGTATGTATACATTTACAGACAGAACGTATCCAACACATTAATCAGCAGTACAAGTCAAGATGGCTCTCTTTCTGCTTTATTTCACAGACAATAAAGCAAATACAAAAGAATCACAATTCCCCTTTGCCTCAGCAATCAAATATTTAAATGGTGTACATACATTAAGACCTTCCCACAATGACATCTACCCATTTTCCAGTATGACATCCACATCACCAATCAGTAACATTAATAATAATAATGCTTACTGATTGAGTAACTGTAGATTCAGTAGAATTAGGACATGCCAATTATCCTTTTAAAGTATATATTTGTGAACTATAGAGGGATTTGAGGTATTTAGTTGCATTAAGTTCTTACTCTACTTCTACAGAATTTATAAATTACCAGTACACATTGTTTTCAGGGAAAGGTGAAGAATTCTAGATACCTCCATCTCAAACAGGGGTCATTCTTCTTGCATTACTCTGTCACCCATACAAAACTATACCAACGAGGTGTTGAAAGTAAGTTGATTTCCATTGATTTTAATTTTACAAAACAGTAAGATTATCTGAGTAAGCCGAAATGAAGAAAGCGTTTAGATACTGCAGTCTTCTCCAATTCCTCCATCGTGTTCTTGTTGTTTGGTCATTTTGATGGACAGAAGGGACAGACATTGTTCCTGCTGGACTGCAGCCAAACACTGATACACTGAAATTAAATAGCAAATAATTTTTTATTTAGTTCTATGTACTTGTATTACACCATTATGATTTGGCAAACAGGTAGAGTCATAACCCACAGAGCCACACAGCAGTGGTGATACAATGCAACTCAACTGGCCTCCTTGCTGGTCCTCTCAGTAGGTTTCAGACTGTGCCAGCAAACCAAAGCACACATAAGCACATGCAGACTCCATATACCCTAGAAGTCAGACATCATTCAGCTCGGTTCAGCTCAGAATGTCATAATGAATAAAGCGGAGAACAGCATTTAAGAGGCATGTGTACCCAAGAGTACAAACAGTGTTCTTACATGACCTCTGCTATAGACCAGAAATGACGGCGACAGTAATGCTCACCTCCTTGTGTACGGTGTGAGAGCAGCTCATAAGGTGCTGAGTCGCAGCATCTACTTGGTTTTGGCACATCAAACAAAGCTTGTACCCAACTGGAGACGCAGTCTATAAACATTAAAGGGGAAAGAACTCCTTCAAAAATCAGGCGAAACACAACGAAATTCCTCAATGTAAGACCATCTTGCCCGTTATTTTGGGCAAGTACACCATTTCATATCATGACACAGGCTCAAAGGTCAGACAATAAGAATAAGTGTGTTACACTGTACCCGTGTTGGCCTCATTTGGATGAACGCAGCTGGGCCCTGCCAAGAATATGCAGAAAATTTGCATTCATTGGGAAGGCCTGATTAGAATCACAGGCTGATAAAAAGTGATAAAGAACCACCTTTGTGCACAACACTATAAGAAGCCTTGTGAATACAGGTATAGTGAATAATCTTACATGGATGATGTCTGAAAGTGAAACACAGATGCATCAAAAGTGTAGTTCTGTGTCTCTCACCGGTTTATCACTTTGGATTAATCTCTGTGCCACCAGTTGGTTCAACTCTTCAACCGAGAGCCCTGCCAGAGTGCCGCGGGACGACTTAATTTCCTGCAGCACGGACATCAGCTGCCTCCTGACAGAGGGCGAGAAACAAGGCTTAGGCCACCTTACAGAATGCCTTATTTTCTACACCCTCAAACATACAAAATACAAACATTCTAAATATTTTTTAAAACATGATGCTTAAAAGCATAAATAAGATATTTGAGGACAACACAAACATTAACATTTACCGATAAAGAGCAGAACACAATCTTAAAAAATATGAGCAGTACCTGCTGCATTGAGAGAACTGGGCTCCCAGATTCTCCAGGAGCTTCTCCAGTTTAGCTACAGGCTGGACGTTGCCCGTGGGAGCTGCTGCTGCTGATGTAGGTGGTGCCATGCGAACGTGCTTGGGGGACGACACGGCTTTGGAAACAGAGTTAGTCTTGCTTAAAGGTGTGGCGTGTGAGCTTGAGGAGGGGACGGGCTGATAGGCCAAGCTTCCAAGCTGGGGGCTCGGCCGCGTGTGATCATATGGGGCGGCAGCTGAGGGGGGGTGGGCAGGGAGTGATTGTTGGGCAGGAAGTGATTGACTGTGTGACGGCATATGTGTTGGCTGGCGAGATGCCCTTGGTCCAGTAATTAAGTCAATCTGCGAGAAAGGACATTTATAAACAGATTAATAATATTTATACATTCATAATTAAGATTGCCGTGGGTAATTTCAAAAGCCATAAGCAATGCGAATGACATATTCCTGAAACAATATCACTTAATTTAACTATGGATTTGCTCTTCCATCAAAGTATTCTGAGAACTGATAACAAAACCTATGCGGGGAATTGCTTTAGAGCAAAGTGCAGAGGAATGTCACTTACGGGGGGGATGGGAGGCAGGGAGGGAGCAGTGATTGGGGGCAGGCTGTCCAGATGCTGGCCTTGCTGGACCAAGTGTAGATACTCAGTGAACTGATCCTGTATAAGCAGAAACGCAAAGGGCAAAGAGCTCAGTGGCACACAGATACAATGAGTACCCAAAGTCACTCCATGTATCTAAACATTACCTGCATGGTATCTAAGCTGCTACGGACGGCCTCCACCGTGCTGTCCCATCCTCGCCTTTGCTGCATGTCTTCTTGGGACACATCTGACCTATGAACACCAAATATGAAATAAGAAAAAGAATTCATTCAAATGGTCGTAAAAGGAGTATAACATTAGCTCACACATTTATACGCCTGGAACGTGTTTATCCGTAATACGCATAGTATCCACACAATCACCCATTCAGACTGACAGACAGGTTAGGTCATGTGAACGGACAGGATACTGGGACAGGATTAGCCTAGTGCAGGAATGACAGAGCATGAGGCAGGTGACACCCAAGGCAGGACACCCGTCATACACATTTGCAGTAAATCCACACTTGTTTATTTACTTTTCACATATTAGTCCATGTAAAAAAAAAAATAAATGAATGTGTGCCACAGGCAAGCAGTTCTCCTACCGGATTGCACTGAGATATTGCTCAGCATCAGACAGCCAGTCTTTCACTTGGGATGTGAGCATCTCCTTCTGCATATTCAGGCTGGCTTCCTACACAGAAGCAATTTATCCACACAAATTTTAGGCTTCACCAACACAAATAACTACAGTCGACCCTTCTGCACTGCGACTTTGCCCATTGCGGTTTCGACATATCACAGCGTCGACATAAGAAATTGAATGTTTTCTGAAAGATGTAGACGACAAGCGAAGGCCAGCACATCACAAACAAAAAGTTCAGTGACTCATATATGTATAAAATATGTTTGGAAGACGCCAAACATGTTTACAGCAGCCTCTCACATGATAGCTCATGCTTCTAATCTCTTTTCACTTCACTCCTGAAATATTTTACATGTTTCTTCCAGATCGCAGGAGGCTTGTGCCCCAATCCCCCACAATGTGAATGTGTCGACAGCTTTGACTTAGTAATGTATATTTAAATGTAAAACAAAAAAAAGCTTTCAATAACCCAATACTCAGCATGCCTTCAACACAATGAGCTTGTGATACAGACAGACAGAGTCCTTACCTCATCTCTCAGAGCATTTTTTCGATCTTTTTCATATTCCTTTGTAGTTCTATTCAACATTTCACGCAGATCCTCTAACTCGCGCTGCACTGTCTTTCTGTTCAGGATCAGACAGCAATGGTCACAATGTGAAGTAATGTGGTTCTATACACACCTGAACACACACGGACTGCATCAATTAACACATAATATTAAAAATGTGGGCAAACTCCATACTTCCGCTTGATACTCCCTAAGAATGGACTATTATTAAACAAGCCAATTTATTCTCTTATTAATCACTTGTATCGATTCCACTTACAAGCAGTAAATCACTCCGGATACATGTACAATACTACCTATTTCTATGTATTATCTGTTTTGGTCTTTTATGTAGTTATGTACTGTGTAGTACACACATACATACATACATACATATTATATATATATATAATATGTATGTATGTATGTATGTATGTGTGTACTACTTAAATGTTAAATGCAGAGCTGTATATATACTGTATGTATGTATGTATATATATATATATATATACACACACACATACATACATACAGTATATATACACTCTCACACACACACACATATACATATATATAAGGGCAATGTGGTAACTCCAATCAGCCTCAGCATGTTTTTGGACTGTGGGGGAAACCTTACGATGACACGGGGAGAACTCCACACATATGCAAGCAGAGACTTGAACCCAGGTTGTATGTAGGTCAACCGGGTTAATAAAACAGTTCTCATTCTGATATATACTGAGCGATTAAACCATTCCAGTGTGCATCAGCATTCATGTTCAGCATAAGTAAGGACCAGGTCCTTCCAAGGTGTTTCTGAATAACCCCCCCCTCCCCCCACCAGCTGCAGATAACAGCTGCAGTCTACATGCAGAGAGAACACAGCTCTGCATTTAACTCAAGGTGAAGCCCTGATATCAAGTACGACGATGTGTTTAGAAATTACTATGGTAAGGCATTGTAAGAAAGAGTAAGCATGTCAGGTGCTATTAAATATGATCAAATGATGATTGGCAATGGATCCTTGAGAAGTTTTCATTCTGCCTCAAATGACCAGGTAATCAGAACTCTCCAGTTTTTACAAACTGTAAGGTGCACTGGATGAAAGATGATTTTCAGAATTTCTGAGTCATTTACTGCTGACTCAGTGACAAAGAAGCGTCTCCATCTCATAACAATATTGCCATAGCCAATGTAATAACAGCAATCACATTTATATTCCTTTAGGAAGCTGATCCAAGGTGCATATGTATAATTTAAGATTCGGTGCTCTGTATTACAACTATTTACTATTCATAGTCTCCAAAGGTTGTGTGCTGGCAAAGTCCTCTCTATTGCACACTGGATACTGCTGACAAAAATGTAAAGCAAAAACTGCATCTTGTTTTGTGCATATGAAGTAAAAAGATATCACAGTAATTAAACAGACCATAAAAACATGGAAGCCAATACATTAACGGCACAATTCTACCTCAAAGTTTCAAAAATATGCTACGTATTCGGCAAACATGAAGATGAATTCATTTTAATGCAGAGGCAGTTTTGAATATTTACAGGATGAGTTGGAAAAGGCTATTCAGAAAGGCAATTCAGAATAGCAATTTACCACAAGCGACCTCAACTCAACTATGGGAAGCATTAAAGTAAGCATATAGCTGCATTGCGAATGAATATTTCTGACATCTTGCACCAAAAAATGGATACTGTTCCAAGGGGAAACAGGGGCACAATGTCATATTAGGTAAGCATCCATAATGTTCTGTTTAAGAATAACTTAATAGCTGGGTAAGCTACAGTTAATTTCTACATTGTCCCCTCTGCTGTGCCATAACTACACCTAGTTATTCATATAGAATTTCTGATTAAAGGGAAAGTGATTAGTGATTGTCATTGTTGACGCACCACAGCACACAGGACATGTTCTGCTCTTACTTTTCTTCCCCTTGTTCTTCTATTAGTGACCTTAGATTTCTGTCCACCTCTTCCAGGTCTTTTCCAAGTCTACCAGGGCAGACAAACTTGCTTTAGTGTGACACATAAACAGTTACTTTATCCGCATATCATTCAAGCAGCCTCAAAATATAATAGGTGCACTCGCTTAATGCATGATAACACTACTCTGAGGACCATATATGCTTACTTTTATCAAATCCAGCCATTTTCTTTCCCCTTTCCCACGCCCCTACCCATGCCCTCTTTTACCCCTCCTCCTAAGCCCCCAAACCTGCTGGTTTCCTCCTTCAATCGATCCCGCTCTCCAGTCAGCTCCACCTTTTTCACAGTAAAGTTCTTGCGAGTCGTCTTGTAACAGTTGAGCTGGAGCTTTACTCGCAGGGACTCCATCTTTTCAAACAAGGCCTGTCGCAATTTAGTTACATTTAGAAAAACTGGGGGCCACCATGCATCACAAATCAGCAGGCAAATCCTATAGAAATTATTTAAGTAACATGCAAAATTAAAAACACAACTGTGATATGTAGAAATTTTAATTGATTTCTTCTATGTTTTTTGGAAAGTTTTTAATACTAATGGTATATATTGATAAAATCAGATAATTATCAAGTAATATTTGCATAGCAACACTTCATGTGATTTTAATTAAAGAGCCAAAAAATTAAATGTATTTTGGTAAATATACATTTTAGACAAGAATTTTGCCAAGCAACCAACCAAAATCATTTCAATTTTCTGTGAGTGTTCTGAATGCTGTAACAATTTCTGGAATCATGAGCAAATATGGAGAACATTACAGTACAATCCCAGATAATACTCTCAGGCGACTTCAGAAGCAGCAAGCCTTAATTCTGTCGGACAAGCGAGAACATTACATGGTGTGTGCAATGGAGGCCAGCAGCTAACAGTGAAGGTTTATTCTGCCAAGAGGGAGGGTCACTTCTTCACTGACACTACAAACCTTCACACTGGTGAAATATAGATTAGTGTCAAATCACAAGTTCAAGGGAATTCTTCAGGCTGCTTATTTAACGCATATTGCACTGAAACTTTTTTTCTTCAATCAAAGGAATGAAAAAAACAACTAGTCATCAAACTATTTTAAAATAAAATGTTTAATGTCTTGTCCTAGTGCAGCTAGGGAATCTCTCTTTTCATTGTTTGCCATTGTTGATTGCAACTTTACATTAAATATAAAATTTGAATCATAATAAATATATAGACATTAGATGCAAAGGCAAGGCACACTAGATGGCATATTGTTGAGGAACAACAATGGCCAAAAATTCACGTTTTGTAGAAGAAACGGTAGTATTTCTTAGTATTGCAGAACAATCTTTTTTTGGCACACGGTAAACTGTCAACATACTAAATTAAGTGTGTCCTAGCTAGGCAATCAGAGCGACACTTTGTCACTCAAGGGTAAGGCACGGAACTGCTGGAGACGCAAATAGGAAATTATCCACAGGCCACACCGTCCCATTTGATAGTGCTTTCTGTTCAACCCAAGAAGAACGCAGCCAGCAAAGCTACACCTTCATAGACCACGTACTTTGCAGAATGCAGCCGGCAAAGCTACACCTTCATAGACCACGTATTTTGCAGAATGCAGCCGGCAAAGCTACACCTTCATAGACCACGTACTTTGCAAAACGCAGCCGGCAAAGCTACACCTTCATAGACCACGTACTTTGCAGAATGCAGCCCCTGAATTCGACCACGGTTAAAGGCTCACAGTCACAGAGAACTCAACCAGTTGGCTGAATCAAAATCACTGGATTTTTACTGCCAGGACCTTAAGTCTCCACGTCTGCATACAATTGCACAATTATTCAACCTTCAACAAGACTTCAATTGCTAAAGTGACTCCAACTGCAGCTCTGAAGACTGACCTTATGCTGTCGAATGGCATCATCCCTCTTTTGCTGCAGAAGCTGAATTTGTTTTTCATCTTGATCCTGGTCCTCCTTCTGCTTTTTGTGCAGGGCCTCATACTGCAGGGTCAGCTGTGCACTGGAGTTCTCCAACGAACTCTGTATTACCACACAGAGATAAAGAAAGACGACTAGACAACTATTTTAATATCTTCTCCCGGTGTTAGCAACTGGGATTTTCAAACAAAGCAATTTGTAACTTACAAATGATAATGATACCTTACCATTTGGCAAATCCTGTAACACTGCAGTGACTGCACTACTATTTTTTTTTCCCTTTTCCCGTCTTTTGTTCAAGTCTGCAGCTATATCCAAAGCAGTTACTCCCTAACATATACACTCCTGGGCAAAAAATAGCCCAAACCCAAAATTGCAAAACATTGAGCTTTTAATGGTCTCAACAACAAATAGCCAGAAGTTATTTAAAATTCTCAACACCCAGACATGTGTTATTTTGAATTTCAAACCATGAAATATTTAAATCTTTTCATGATTTACTCTTTGTGTATAAGAAGCCTGTGTAAGTCAATGTCCCAGTTTCCAGCTATTTCTCCCAGCTGTTCATTGCAGCAGCAATCAGTGACGAGCAAACGGTGGCAAAGGTCTCGAGGGTGTAATTTTTAGTTATTGCTAATTATGGACTGGCATCCGCTGCAGGTATGGGCAATTTAGAGACACCCAGCTGACTTAACTGCGTGCTGCAGTGATAACCCAAAGTACCCAATAACTGCAAACATATAGATTCAAGAGCAGGAATCAGCCACACAGCTCTGAAGGTGTAAAGATACAATGATAAACCATCATGCACAAAGCCAAAAAGTCAGATCATCAGTAAACATTAAAAACTATGTAATACTGCATTTAATTAACTGTACCGCAAACAAGTGAACATTTAATATCTGATTAGGACTCTAATATGCCATTGCCCTTCAAAGAAGTTCACTTTAAAATTACGGTTTTAAAAGGCTTACTGAGTCTCATCTCACACGTGATTTCCACCACAACATGAACACCATCCAAAATGACAAGCAACTTGTAATTAAAATATTTAATGTCCTGACTGGACCATGTAAAAATACTGTTGCAATTAAAAAACACATACACCTTACCATTTGGGACTCCCAATCTGTTTCAGTGTTTGCTGCATTTTCTGCTGTCCAGAATTCTGTCTATGGAATGACAACTAATTTGAACTATGCTTTACAAAATAAAAAACACAGAGAAATCAAAATACATTCT